GTGGCGGGTCGCGTCTTCCAGCAGGAGGCTCGTCTTCAGGCCCGGGTCGATGTTTTTCAGGATCCAGTATGCGCACATAGCAACCTTGTCCATGCAATGGTCACTCTGCAACAGATGGATAGTGTCGTCAACGTCGCCATCATCATCTGCAGTGGCAGAGGCCATGTCTACTCTGCTGGGCGGTTTGTAGGGCAGTGACTGCTGCCTGCCTGTGACTTGCCCGTTGCAATGCCCCCCAATATCGTTTGAGACAAAATGGACGATGGAGGATGGAGAGTGCCCGAATGTGGGAGGGGACCCGACCAAGAACGCCCACAGGGCCACGAAACCTCGCAGGGCCCCAAGGGACAACGCCCCAAACGCCCAAGATCACCCAAGCTTAAATAACGTCCAAATCGCCAAACATCAACCGAGTTTGATTATCATGTTATGTTTGATGGTGGCGCTTGTCATGGCGGTTTTATTGTGATATTGGTGATGATGGCGGATATGATGACGTGTTTTGATCCTGGTGGTGATGATGCGGGTTCTGATGACAAGCTCATGATGGTGATCTTGGTGTTGTTGGTGGTTATGATGGCGTTTTGATGGTTGTGACCTTGGTGGTGATGGTAATGCTGGCGGTTTTGATGACTGGACTTTTGATTATGGTGGTGATGGCGCTCATGCTTGCGATTTTTCTTTATCGCCTGAGCCTCTCCACGCGAGGCGAAATATCTTATTGTCTTGCGCCTCTGCTGGGCGAGGTTACCGATTTCTGGTAATGAATTTGAAGCTGCATGGCAACATGTGTGCGCCAGCTTCCGCAGGCACGCCTATAACAAAACGCACGGCAAGCTTCTCACGCATATGCGAAATTGATTCCTTTCCAGATTGCCGAACAGCCTTTGAACATCTTGCAGCAACGTTGGCTATCTTGCGATCCCAAGCCAATTTCAGTATCCAAATCACGCAGTAAGCATGAAAGTCGTTGGGGCGCCATGTGCGTCAGCCAGCGGTAGCAATTCATGCAGCAAAATCGCACGTCGGCGCAAATCATATTCCCGCAAATGTTGAACTACTTTGTCTTCAGTTTCTTCGCCTTGCTCAATTCAAGCTGCTCCATTCTTGCCAAATGTATCTCCATGGCGAGCGAAAATGTTTGACCCCCCAATTCCATTGCATATTTGTTTGATTGCGCCGCGGTGAATTGCTGGTAGATCTTATACATCGTCATCCCCACGTCGCATCTGATATTGTCCGGGTGGTATGTGAGCTGATTTTTGTAGCGGCCTGGCAACAATATCGCAATCATGACGTTTTCACCACCTCCGCTGAGTTCAGTGTAAGCGTCTCCCGACCCCAGTGGTACATACTGTCGAAAATACGCTGGCATCACAATCAATTGTCTAGGCTCCCGCGTCTCTTCCTCGTTTGGCTTACGGTAAGTTGGCCCCCAAAATTCCACCTTGTAGTAAGATGGAAATGTCATCATTATGCACGCCGACCCCGCCATCAATGACATAGATTGCCATGCGTTAGTCTTGAACGTCGCTGAATCTTTGAAGTGCCGCGTCGTATCATCCCGTTCTGTGCCCCAGTGTGGGCTGCCCCAAAACACAAGCTCGAGATTCATGTCCATCTCCTTCGCGAACGTATCAAACGGTTTGAACTTCGTCTGAGTACTAAACCCCGATATGCCAAAGAAAGGCCCTGCTGCGCCCAAGTCGCATAGCACGTTGCTGCTCATGCATGTGCTTTCGTAGAGTTGATGTTGCTCAGGACTTGCGTCGTCGTTGGGCTTCGGCTGCTGCTCCAAATCTGTAAGTACCAGGCACTGGTATGGCAAGTCTTTCCCAGATCCCGCGCTTGCATCATGTCCACCAACAACAACATATTCTTGCTCGCTGGAAACAACGCGAGCATCGCCCACAATCGGTCCATCATCCAAAGCCATGTTCAAAGATGTGCTGGTTGTTATGGCAGCGCCCTGCACTTGCAAGGCCAAAACAGGCTACGGAGGAGGAGGGTGGAGGAGTGCTTGTGTTTTTGCGTTGGTTCCGGAGGCGGGTAGGGAAGGGCGCGAGATCTTTGCGAGCGCCCGCAAACGGTGCGATTCATAACACAATATGTCATAATTGCATGCGCAGATTCTTCGCACGCGACGACGTCAAGGACGCAAGGGCGGCCCGCGTTCCCCCCCAAAGCACACGCGCACACAACACAAAACACGCACACGCGCACGCACGCACGCGCACGCTGCAACATTGCGCTCTATCTTATGTTGTGGATTATTAAGTTGTTTTCCATGTTTCTTATAGGTGTTTCAGTATCGTGCTATGGCATGTACAGTTGAATGTTGATACGTTCCATGGCCCAGGTGTTGTTTTTTGGTTCAGGGAGGGGGGGATAGGGACAGAGAGAGAGAGGGAGGAGAGGGGAAGGGAGGGAGAAAAGAGCAAGGGAGGAAAAGGGGAAGGGAGACCTCATGCACGCCGCGCGACGCGCACGGGACAACCCCAAGAAGAGGAGGAGGGGGGGGAAGAGGATGGCGAGTACCGCTGGTAGACCCCGCCCCCCCCCCTCCACCGTCCTCCATTTTCCATTGCTCGTTAACCTCCAATCCTCCACCTCCCCCGAACCGCTGCCCTCATGGCAAGGGCCCCCGTGGGGTATAGCGCCCCCTGGGCACTGCGCCCCGCGATGTCCCCCGGCCCCCGCGGCGCGGCCATGCGGCCAGGGGAAAGAAGAGCGCGGGGGCCGTAGCCTCCGGCACGCCGAGCCCCCGACGACCCAGCGGGGTTCCAAGACAGCCCACGAGGCACCCGAGACGGCCCATGCAGACCCCAACAAGATTTGCCCAAGAGGGAGACATCGAAGGCCCACTTTGCAAGACGGCACAGACGGCCCAACAGGGTCACAAGACGGCCCCACATGGTTCCGAAGCAACCTTGCAAACTATGAAGTGTAGGCGCGCATTTAAAAAACTGCGCAACTTTCATGGTGCACGAAAGCCTTTTCGCGGTCCACGAACGCAGCGTTCTTTGTGGCTTTTGTGGCGCATGGAAAAACCCGCAAGGAAATTATTGTGTCTTCTTGTGCATGAAAATTATAGCTGATGCATGAGCTCCAGGAAAACCGCGACATTGTTTTGGGTTTTCGTGGCCCCCCACGAACGCGCCGCAAAAATGTTTTTGGGTTTTCGTTCGCGTTGGCACGCAAGGATTTGCTAGAGCTTTATGTAAATTGTGCGCGTGTGTTTTTTGTTCGTGGAGCCCCGCGCCGCGGAAAGTTTCCCCCGCGCCATTTTGATTTAACTCGTAGCTTTCCACAACTTTATGGATGAGCCCCGCGGGCGCCACGAACATGTTTTCGTGGTTTTCGCGGAGCTCCACGCGCGCCGCGAAAAGGTTTTCGTGGCTTTCGTAGAGCCTCACGCGCCACGAAAAGAGTCATGTTGATTTAAATATGTTTTTCGCGTCGTTAATTAGCGAAAAAATTTTCGTGCGCCACGAAAAAGGTTTTCGTGGTTTTCGTGGAACTCCACGAACGCCACGGAAAAAAAAAAAATGTTTTCGTGCGCCACGAAAAAGGTTTTCGTGGTTTCAAAAACTGATTTTAAAATTTCTGGGGCTCTTAAAGGAGGCCGACGGTACCATAGCATTTCGTGACATTCTACGAGCGCCACGAACTGGTTTTCGTGGTTTTCGTGGAATTCCACGAACGCCACGAAAAAAAATGTTTTCGTGCGCCACGAAAAAGGTTTTCGTGGTTTCAAAAACTGATTTTAAAATTTCTGGGGCTCTTAAAGGAGGCCGACGGTAACATGGCATGTCGTGACATTCTACGAGCGCCACGAACAGGTTTTCGTGGTTTTCGTGGAACTCCACGAACGCCACGGAAAATAATGTTTTCGTGCGCCACGAAAAAGGTTTTCAAAAACTGATTTTAAAATTTCTGGGGCTCTTAAAGGAGGCCGACGGTAACATAGCATTTCGTGACATTCTACGAGCGCCACGAACAGGTTTTCGTGGTTTTCGTGGAACTCCACGAACGCCACGGAAAAAATGTTTTCGTGCGCCACGAAAAAGGTTTTCGTGGTTTCAGAAACTGATTTTAAAATTTCTGGGGCTCTTAAAGGAGGCCGACGGTAACATAGCATTTCGTGACATTCTACGAGCGCCACGAACAGGTTTTCGTGGTTTTCGTGGAACTCCACGAACGGCACGAAAAAAAGCTTTCGTGCGCCACGAAAAAGGTTTTCGTGGTTTCAAAAACTGATTTTAAAATTTCTGGGGCTCTTAAAGGAGGCCGACGGTAACATGGCATTTCGTGACATTCTACGAGCGCCACGAACTGGTTTTCGTGGTTTTCGTGGAATTCCACGAACGCCACGAAAAAAAATGTTTTCGTGCGCCACGAAAAAGGTTTTCGTGGTTTCAAAAACTGATTTTAAAATTGATTTTAAAATTTCTGGGGCTCTTAAAGGAGGCCGACGGTAACATAGCGCGAAAAGGTTTACGTGGTTTTCGTGGAATTTCACGAACGCCACGAAAAAGGTTTTCGTGCGCCGCGAAAAAGGTTTTCGTTTTAAACATTCTGGGTAAGGAGGCCGACGTTGACATGTCATTTCGCGCAGCGAAAATTCAACGAGCGCTACAAAAAGGTTCGTGGTTTTCGTGGACCCCCACGGCGCGCTTATAAATTTGTCGCGCGTCACGAAAAGGTTTTCGTGGTTTTCGTAAATCTTTAATTTGAAATTGGCCCTTTAAAGAGGCCGATCGGGGCTTTTTCATGCCACGAAAATGCAACGAGCGCAACGAAAAACATGTTTTCGTGGCCACGAAAAGGTTGTCGTGGTGAAATTCAGGCGATAACATGGCCCCACGAAAACTATATAGTTTTCTATAGGTATGGGCCGACGGGGACATGGAAACTAACATTGTACCTTAAGCGCGTCATTTGGAATTTCAGTCCGGCTTGCGTGGGACATCTGAAGAAAATCGCCGCGTGCATGGCCTATGAAAGTATATTCATCCGCCCGGGTGCTACGAGGATTCGAGGCCTCGGGAGGGTTCGGGAGGGCTCGGGAGAAACGGCGCACATTAGTTATCACGTGCGCACGAGTGGGCATTCGGGGCCTCGGCATCGCCGATTCCGCGCATACGGAGCCACCCGGTGGTCGGCTAGAGTTCGAGGGGAACGAGCCGGTGCACGTCTCGGGAGTCGACATCGAGGTCGCCTTCTACTCCATCGGCCTCCCCGAGGAGCTGCGGGAGTACTTCGGGATGGAGCCTGTCTGCGCTGGCGCCGTCGGCGTGGGCTGGCTTGGCGGAGTGCGGCTGCGTCCTGGGGAGAAGCTGGTGCCCGTGCTGAGTGTGCTACCCATGGGCTTCAAGGGCGCTCTGTACGTCTGCCAGGCCCTCCACGAGGCCGTGGCCGAGGGGGTCGCGGGCGTTGAGGGGGGCAAACGGCTGGTGGGCGGGAGGCCAGCGCCTTCCGTTGCCCGAGGGCCGGTGCACACCGAGCACGTGGACAATTTCGTGGCGCTGGGCACCGACGGCGAGGAGGGGCGCCGCATGGCCACCGAGGTCGGCGAGGCGCTGAAGGCCGACGGGCATAGCGTGCACCCGGTGACCTGCAGCCGCAGGGGGGACACGCTCGGCTGGCACTTCGATGAGTGGCGGCCGGCCGTAGGCGTCGCCCCTCGCACCGCCTGGCGCCTCACCCTTGGTTTGCGAGAGTCACTGCGACGGGGTCGTGCGAGCGGCGCCCAGTTGAGAAGCATCGTTGGTCACATCGCGTTCCGCGTCTTGCTCCGACGACCCATCCTTTCTGTACTTCACACTGTCTACGCTTGTATCGATCGTCATCCTGTTCGGGTTGCGCCTCTCTGGGACACAGTAAAGCAGGAGCTGGAGTGGATAAGTCGCCCGGTGCCCCTGGCCTCGAGAGAGCTCAACATGGAGTGGAGCCCCAAGGTCACCGTGTTCGACGCGAGCGAGTGGGGGTACGGGGCGATGGAGCGGCGATGCGAGCTCGGAGCGATCAAGTATGCTGGGCAGTACTCTGATAGGTGGAGGTTCACAAAGTCGGGGGAGCAACGGGTACGACCACGTGACGAGGAGGGAGTCTGGGGACAAGAGCACGGTGATCTTCGAGGGGTGCCTGCGGTGCCCAGGTCTGTCTGGGGCGGGTGCTGGAGGCGCGTGGCTAGTAGGCCTTGGAACGTCTCGGGGGGCCAGGTGATCTTGGAGGCTCGGGCCGGCGTGTGGGCCCTTCGTCACATTCTTCGAGACAGCCGTGCTATAGGACGCAGACACCTCGTTCTCAGTGATGCCATGGCCGTTGTGCTCGGTGTGGCAAAGGGGCGGAGCTCGAGCCGGGCCATGGGGCGCTGCTTTAGGCAGTGGGCTGCCCTGTGCCTGGCCAGCTTTGCCGTCGCCCACGTTCGCTGGATCTGCTCCGAGCGGAACGCGGCGGACGGCGCCTCGCGGGGCTCTGAGGAGCGCAGCGCCGCGGCTGCCCGGCATGCTGAGCCGCGGGCCGACGGATCGACGGCTCGGGAGCGCCTCGCTCGCCACGACCTCAGCGGCTTCGAGTTCGTGGATCCCGTCACCGGCGGCTTCATCGGCTGCGAGGGGACCGATGGCTTCGTCTTCCGGCCGCCGCCTGGGCTCGCTCACCCCAGCGATCCGAGCGGGGGTGAAGAGGAAGGCGAACGGGAGCCTGGGGGAGGCGAGGCGGCGCCGCCGGCAGGCCGCAAGCAGGGCCGCTGGCGCGAGCTCGGCCGCGCACCCGCTCGCGGGCGCCAGCCGCGAGGTTGCCGCCGACGGCAGGCGGCGGGCGCTGCCGGGGCCCGGGCTGACGCAGCTGGAGCGGGGGGTGCCCCCGGGGGCGCGCGCACTGACGGTGCTGGAGGACGAGGCAGTGGGGCCCTCGACGCAGAAGGACTACCGCCACCGCTTCGGCTGTTTCACGCGCTGGGCCTCGGAGAATTCTCTTAAGGGTCTCAGCTGGGAGACTCCAGCCAAGGCCGACGCGGCGCTGGTGGAGTGGCTGAACGAGCAGTTCTTCGAGGGCGAGCCCCTGGCGACCGGCGCGAAGATGCTGGCGGCGCTGGGCCACCTGCTCCCGGGGGTGCCCCGTGGGGCGCTGGAGCTGCGACGCTCGCGGCGGGCGCTCCAGGGCTGGAGGCGTCACAACCCGTCCAGCTCGCGCCTGCCGCTGCCGTGGCCTGTGGTTGCTGCCTTGGTGAAGGAGATGCACGCGCAGGGGCAGCTGGCGGCCGCAGGGGCCACCCTTGTGGCGTTCGTGCTGCTGCTGAGGCCGGCAGAGACGCTGAGGTTGGCGGGCGGCTGCCTGGTGGCTCCGGTGCGAGGCGGAGGCCGCAGCCGCCGCAAGTGGTCAGTGGTGCTCCACCCCCAAGAGAGAGGAGTGACCTCGAAGGTGGGGGCGCAGGACGAGTGCATGGTGTTCGACAACCCCGAGTTCGACCTGGTGCTGCCGCTGCTGGAGTGGCTGCTCAAGAGCGTGCCGTTCGGGAAGCCTCTCTTCCCGCTGAGCGCGGCCCAGTGGCAGGAGGCCCTGAGGGCGGCGGCCAGGCGGCGGTTTCCCAGCCTCGCCGCGCCTGCGCTATACCAGCTCCGGCACGGCGGCGCGTCCCACGAGGCGCTCGCGCAGTTCCGCAGCTCGGAGGACCTCATGCGCAGAGGCAGGTGGCACAGCCAGCGCTCCGTGAAGCGGTACGAGAAAGGAGGGCGCGTCAACCAGGTGCTGCAGTCGCTGACGGCGGAGGAGCTCGACGCGGCGCTGGAGGCCGAGCGCGCCCTCGGCGCGTGCCTCTCGCGGACATACCGCGGCTAGCCGGGGCCAAGGGCTTCGCGCTGGAGATCTTCGCGGGCAGCGGGCGCCTCAGCCACTGTTAAGGCAGCAGGCGCCCTGGGGCCTGCCCATCTTCGAGATCGACGTCGGCTTCCACAGCTCACGCGATCTCAGCCGCAGAGCAGCTCAGCGTCTCATCCTGGGCTGGATCCGCTCGGGGTGCTGTAAGGCGATCTGGCTGGGAACGCCCTGCGCGACCTTCTCGCGGGCGCGGGACTCCGGGGCCGGGCCGCCTCGGTTGCGCTCGGATGAGCAGCCGCTGGGCCTGGGCGGGCTGTCGGAGGGCGACAGGGTGAAGGTGGAAGTGGCGAACGAGCTCTGCCGCTTCTCCGCCAAGGCCCTCCTGTGCTGCCTCGAGCGGGGCGTGCCGGCGGCGTTGGAGAACCCCGCGTCGCCCCGCCTGTGGCTGACGCCCTACATGCAGGCCGCCGGCCAGCGGCCTGGGGTGAGAGAGGCTGTGACAGATTTCTGCATGGATGGCGCTCCCTGGCGGAAGCGAACGAGAATCAGGTATGCTCATCTTGACTTGAGTGCGGCAGCGCGCGCGTGTCATAGTGCTAGGAATGAACATAAGTGCGATCGCACTGGTAGAAGGCATGTTGCGTTGCATGGTAAGGGTCCCGATGGTAGATGGCTTACTAAGACGGCTGAGCCTTATCCTCGACCCTTGTGTAGGCGTCTTGTCAGTCAGCATCGTGCTTCCATGTTTGCTCGTGCTGTATGTAACCTAAGAGAGAGATTGATCTGAACGGCGTGCCATGTTTAGACTTTGGAGAGGTCTCAGTTTGGAGTTGACTAACGTATGAATTCATCCTCTGTCTTTGTGCGCGAGTGTCTTCCCTGCCAGCGAGTAGCCTTTCCACTCGCACATAGATTGACCTCTGCGAGGCGTGGCCATGGCGTGAGAAAGGTGGCAAGAGATCTGCCCGTACTTGTACATTGATCTTGGGGCCCCTCTCGGACGAAGTTGGCCGAATCTCGTTACGCGGGCTCAGACAGAAACCGACCCCTTTCAACTGAAAATGGTCGGTTTTTCTGGTGGCAAGCTAGAATATTGCCTATGTGCAGAGATTCGAGGGGTCCCGAGCGAGATGTAGTGAACATTGCATGCATGCACGTGCGTATATTCATAGCCTTTCTGTATCAAGGAGATCGCCCAGGCCTGAGGTGAAAGAGACCTAGCCCCATCCAGATCCTCCATCTTGTATAAGTTTCTACATGGTAGGCGGAGCGTGATCTGCCGCAGCCGAGCGTGAGAACCGATCCCTCCTGGACGGATTCAGATGGAAGCGGCTCTCCAGGAGCTGCAGCGAGTTGTCGGAGAGCAGGCGGCCCAGATTCAAGCCCTCTCGGCAGCAGGCCAACAGAGTCCAAGGGGAGCGGCTGCGGCGGCGGAGGATAAGAGGCTCGAGAGCATCGTGGACACGAAGATCCTCGGCAGGATCGGAGTCTTCTCGGGCGATGACGAGGACTGGAGGCAGTGGTGCTTCGTGTTCGAGTCGACGGCTGGACTCGTCGACCTTGAGGAGATCATGACGCACTGTGAGGACACAGCAGAGAGTGAACTAGGCTGGGCGGCCCAGTCAGAGAAGATCCAACTGAGGATGAAGGTGCTGTACCACCTACTGATCGCTACTACGAAGGGCAAGGCCCTCACGATTCTGCAGATGGTGCCGAAGAACAACGGTGCCATAGGATGGAAGAGACTCAAGGAGGAGTACGAGCCGAAGTCTGGAGGAAGACTGACGGCGATGCTGATGGGAGTCCTGAAGCCCGAGTGGGAGACCGCCGTCAGGAGCGGTGTCCGCGCTTGGGAGGCGGCCTGGAAGGAGTGGGAGAAGAGCGTCTCGCTCTACGAGGCCCAGTCTATGGAGAAGGTCACGGAGGGCACGAGGATTGCCGTCGTGGTCAGATGGGCCCCAGAGGACGTGAAGGCCGTGATTCGTCAGTCCCTGGGGGCGATTGGCCAAGATTACAACAGATTGGCCAAGGTGGTAACCGACTACATCGCGAGTGGGAAGGTCTACGAGACCACAGGAGCTCCTCACGGCATCCAGTACACGAATGATGGCCCCATGCCCATGGACGTCGGACTGGTGAAAGACAACGGCGACGTCTGCGGCATCTCCAAGCCGCCGAAGGGGTATGGCAAGCAAGCGAGGATTGACGCAGGAAAAGGCCGTGGAGACCGTGATTCTTGCGCGAACTGCGGCAAGAAGGGCCACTGGGCAAGAGACTGCTGGGCCCCAGGCGGTGGAGCGGCCAAGAACTCGAAAGGTAAAGGTAAAGACAAGGACCCGAAAGGCAAGGGCAAGGACAGGAAAAGATGCGACAAGTGCGGGAAGATAGGCCACGAGGCCAAGGATTGCAGGTCACACATCAAGTGCGACAAGTGCGGCAAGACGGGTCACAAGGCTTCAGAGTGCAGGTCGAAGCCGGAGAACGCGGAGATCAAGAGGATTGTTAACAACGAGGACGAGCTGTGGGTCATGGGCGTCACCGAGAGCGTGAACACCATCAACGACAACAGCAGGTACGTGTGGGTCTCCATCGACAGCGGGTCGGACGCGGACGGATGTCCCCTCAGCTTCGGTCACTCGAGCGACGACGTCGAGGACCCCACCAGCGTGGAGCTGAGGACGGCCACGAACGAGGAGATCAAGGACTACGGCGAGCGGAACGTCGGCATCGCCTTCCTGGACGAGACGGGCAACGAGGTGATGGCCACGAATCGGTTCCGCATCGGAGACTTCAGCAAGCCCGTGCTGAGCTGCGGGATCAGGGTCATGAGAGGTGCTGTCATTCACCTGGAGCAGGGGAATAGTTACATGGCCCCGCCGAGCTTGAACGGCACACAGAGGAAGATCCCTCTGACTATGATCGGGAAGAGCTTCTACGCGAAGTGTCGTGTGCTGGAACCTGGTGCTCAACGACATCGAGTGGCACCAGTTGTCGATCAGGAGGCACAAGGGCAAGCCGTACCGTCGGTGCAACCAGAACTGCAAGCTCCACACGCTCTGCTGCCCACGGCACCGCCACAGGATCCTCAAGAAGCGCCTGTACCACCACAGGCTGGACCTCCACGAGAGATCCTGGGTCCCCAGTCGTCGGTCGAGGCACTGAGGACGCGCCTGAAGGAGTTGAGGAAGTTAGGGGTCGTGGACGCGGCTATCTACGGCACCAAGAGGCAGCTGTGGGAGAGACTTGTCAAGTGCGAACACCAGTTGGACGAGAGGATGAAGGTCAAGGAGGCGCTGGAAGAACGTCAACGACGACTTCGAGAAGGCGTGGACCCTGAGGTGCCGAGGACGCTGAAGATCCCTGAGAGGCCAGATGAGGAGACTGTGAGGCAACACGAGCTCACCCATGCGAGGTTCGAGCCATGGTGTCTGGAGTGTGTGTTTGGAAAGGGAGATGCTGCACCTCATCGTGGAGTCCAGTTTCTCACAGACAAGGAGCCAGAGGTACCCGTCGTGCAGATAGACTACCATTTCCTGAAGGACGATGGCGAGGAGACGGAGGATGCGGCCAACAGATTCTCCACCACGCTGGCCGTCATCGACTGCGACACAGGCGTCCCTCTGCAGCTCAGCCTCCCCGAGAAGGGAGGCAATCAGGACTACACGGTGACGGCGATCGCGAGCTTCCTCCGCAGACTCGGGGCCACGAAGCTCAGACTTAGAACTGACGGCGAGCCGAGCATCGTCAGCATCGCGAACGCAGTGGCGGCCAAGAGGCTCAAGATAGACAAGTACAACGTCACGGTGGAGCAGACCCCCAGGTACTCATCCCAGTCGCTTGGGGCAGTGGGGGCGCAACAGAAGATCCTACAGGGCCAGACCAGGACGATCAGGGCCGCCACCGAGAAGATGCTGGGTATCAAGATCGGTCCGAGTCACGTGTTGTGGCCGTGGCTGGTCAGGCATGTTGGTTTCATCACGGAGATGTTCCATGTCAAGTCAAATGGGAGGACACCTCATCAAGATGCTACAGGCACCAAGTATCACGGAGTCATTCTGAGGTTTGCAGAGGCCGCGATGTTCAGACACCCCATGTCGACGAGTGGCCACATGACAGGAGGCAGGCGCAGCCGCAAGTCGAAGTCGATGTGGGAGAAGGGTATTTTCCTGGGCAAGACCTACGAGAGCGATGAGTTCCTCATGGGCACGAGCAGCGGGGTGCACCTGGTCAGGACGGTCCGCAGGCTCCCCGAGGAGAACCAGAGCGACCTCGAGCTCGTGGCCAAGATGGTGGGAGTTCCCTGGGATCGAGGCATCGGCCAGATCGGGAGACCGAAGGGCAAGAAGGTTGTTGTCGTCCCAGCGGTCCCGCCTGAGGAGAAGCAGGACGAGCCAGAGGTCGAGGACACCAAGCAGGACAAGAGGGTTACGGACGCCACGATCGAAGGGGGGATTGCTGACGACGGGCAGAGCTACAAGAGTGCAAAGAGTGGCAGCATGGAAGACGTAGAGGTCTCCACGCCGAGGCAAGAAGGAGGTGGCAGCTCCTCGTCTCAGCAGGCTCAGCCCGCTGCTTCAACCGCCACTCCGAGAGCCAGAAAGCGGAGTGCTTCTGAAGCCGAGTCCCCTGAAGTCGAGATGGGCACAGTTGGCGGCGTCGACGGTTTCGTGATGGACGAGGCTGACACGGCACCCGCCATGGACCCCGAGATGGACATTGACTGGCACGAGGGCGAGTACGACATCGACCTCATCAAGGCTGGCAAGTGCAAGGAGATCAACACGATGCAGGAGTTTGACGTGTTCGAAGCAGTATCGCCTGACGAGATAGATTCTACGTGGACGTGGCTGTCCACCAAGTGGGTGTACCAAGAGAAGGGTGATGAGATCCGATGCCGATTCGTTGCCAGGGAGTTCAAGAGCATGGACCCAGAGCGAGAGGGGTTGTTCACACCGGCAAGCGAGCCCACAACGGGGAGGCTCATAGACTTCAAGGCGGTGAAGATGAACCAACCCACGGTCATCATTGATGCTGTCAATGCCTACTTCCACGCGATGCAGGACAGGCTAGTGGCGGTTGTGCCGCCCAAGGAGTGGATGGAGGCAGAGGCTCTCAAGGGCAACACGACACGGACGATGTGGAGGATGAAGAAGAAGCTCTACGGCGAACGGGACGCGAGCAGGGGGTTCAGCGACTTCATGACTGGTACCCTCGTGTCGGAGATGGGGTTCGTCCAGTGCCCCGATCAGCCGTGCTTCTATCGCCGAGAGCGGGACTCCGTGGACCTGGAGCTCCACCAGGACGACATCTACGCCACGGCGGGCGATGTTGAGCTTCAGTCGTTCACGACGGAGTTGGCCAGCAAGGTCAAGATCAAGGTGAGCAAGCTGCTGAAGGTTGGTGACAAGTACAATCATTTGAAAGGAGGGAGAGTGAGAGTACATGATGGCATGGTTTTGACTGGCAATAGGAAGTACGCTGACAAGATCGTCGAGCTGTTGAACTTGGGAAGGGCCAAGAGCTCGCCCACTCCCATCGTGACGAAGCTGCTGGAGGACGATCTCAAGGAGCCGTTGGACGCTGATGACGCCACGCTCTACAGGCAGTGCGTGGGCATCGCAAGGTACATGATCAACTACATCACGGAAGCCACGTTCGCAGTGCACGTTTTGAGTAAGAGGATGTCGAAGCCCACCGTCAATGACATGAAGAGGCTGAAGCACTTGGGCAGGTATCTACTTGGAGTTCGTGACTACGGGCTGTTCTTCCCCAAAGAGGGTGAGGTGGATATCCTGGAGTGCTACACCGACTCGGACTGGGCTGGAGACACCGTCGACAGGAAGAGCGTATCATGTGGAGTGTTGAGCTGTGGGGGCTGCACGCTCCTAGAGTACTCGCGCGGCCAGTGCACGCAGGCGCTGAGCTCAGCCGAGGCGGAGTACTACGCGGCGGTGACGGTGGCAGCCGAGGCGATTCACCTCCAGAGCGTGATGAAGTTTCTAGATATGGACGTGAAGATCAGGGTCAGGATGGATTCGAGTGCAGGGAAGGCGATCTGCCACCGCATCGGGGTTGGCAGGATACGCCACCTGGAGGTCCGCACCTTGTGGCTTCAGGCGAAGGTGCGGGACAAGAAGCTGGCGGTGGTCAAGCAGGCTGGGGAGACCAACCTGGCCGACATCGGCACCAAGGCGCTGGCGAGCCAGAGGTTCCACTGGCTGCGGGGGCAGCTGGGGCGACGCCCGCTGGAGGGCGCAGACGAGATCGAGGAGAGCACCGCGATCCGAGTCAATTTCGTGAGCGACACGACGTCCAAGATGGCGAAGGTCGGAGCGGCCTTGATAGCCCTCATGGACAGCCTGGGCTCGGTGAAGGCAGACGGTGAGTGCGACGTCTACAGCTACGAGACGGACAAGAAGGAGATCATCCTGAAGGACACGCGCCTGGGCACGGGCGTGCACCTCGAGGGCATGGTGCTCATCGGGGTGGCGATCCTCGTGGCAATCCTGTTCTGCGTGGCAGGTTGCTGTGCAGGCTGGTGTGTGGGCTACTTCGTGAGGCCCACCGACGCGAGGGAGAGTGAGATGAAGATGGTCCAGGACGTGGCTCCAAAGAGAGCCGCTAAGGCCAAGAGGGAGAAGGTCGAGAGGAGAACGATCTCGACTCAGAGCCAGGTGACATATTCCTGGCACAAGACCACACCGAGGTTCGTTCCGCTAGGAGAGTGGTCCCAGGGTGCCTGGGCAGAGTGAGTCAGGGCTGAGAGCGATACCCTGCCGGAGGGTCAAGAGGACCGCCGGCAGAAGGGCTTGAGCGACATCGCCAGAGCCCGCTTGTTTTTCCAGCGGGGTGAGGTTGAAAGAATTTTCTCGCTGTGCGGTCTGATCAGCCGCCTCGTGGAGCCTCCGACGTCGCCCTCAGGGGGCGTGCAGAGATTCGAGGGGTCCCGAGCGAGATGTAGTGAACATTGCATGCATGCACGTGCGTATATTCATAGCCTTTCTGTATCAAGGAGATCGCCCAGGCCTGAGGTGAAAGAGACCTAGCCCCATCCAGATCCTCCATCTTGTATAAGTTTCTACACTATGTGTTTTCCGTAACTGTCTCGCTCAAGCTCCCTCCCTTGTTCCTTATATGCACTGTCGCAAATGTTTCTGCCCGCCCATGCTTCGACTCGACAGCGGAGTTGACTAACGTATGAATTCATCCTCTGTCTTTGTGCGAGAGTGTCTTCCTTGCCAGCGAGTAGCCTTTCCACTCGCACATAGATTGACCTCTGCGAGGCGTGGCCATGGCGTGAGAAAGGTGGCAAGATATATATATATATATATATATATATATATGAAAGAGCGTGTTCTACCGCTGCTGGCGGAAAGCGGGGGGGGGGGTCACTGGGGGCCCCCAGCGCGCCCCCCCCTTCGAAAACTCGCGGGGGTCACTGCCGGTTCGAACCCCTCCCCCGCCCCCCCCCCGGCCCATCATGAAAAGGGGGGGGGGTCACTCCCGGTTCGAGAGAGGTCCAGATCACAACCGGCCGGGTGAGATCACAACTGGACGGGTCAGATCGCAACCGTCACGGACACGTGGGACGGGTGAGATCCCAACCACCTTTTGGAGCTTCTGACAGCTTCTGAGAGGTTGAGAGAGCCTCTGAGAGATTCTGAGAGCCTCAGAGAGGTTCTGAGAGCCTCTGAGCCTGGGCGAGACGCTCTGGCCCCCGCCAGCGCCCGTGCAAGGATTGCACGTTCGTTCGGCGCAGCAGGCCCGGGGCGGAATGCCGCCGGCGCGACGGCCGCGACGCCGCCAGCGAGGGCCTAGTCGAGGAAGTCGTCCCAGCCGCGTTTGCTGACCTTCCGCTGAGCGGCCGCGTGCTCGTCGAGGTCTTCTCGCGCGTCGAGGAGTAGGAGGAGGGCGGTCGCGCGCCCCCTCGCGCGCGGGAGTCTGCTGGAGGCGCAGCTATATCCGCTGCGGTGACGGCTTCGACGAGGAGCACGACCTCATGAAGGTCGATGCTTTTTGGCGGCTCTGGTTCGGCACCCGAAGGGCGCCTGCCACTTCGTTTTCTCATGGCGCCGCGCGACGGTAGCGCGCGCGACCCCGACGGCCCGCCCCCTGGAGAACACTTGCGGTGACAAGGCAGACCCCGATGCCAGCTTCTATAACGGCATGGCTTACAGGATGGTGCGAAGATTGCGTCGGCTGCTCGGCTGGGCGCCGGCGCTGGCGGATCAACCCTCGTTTGCCTACCTGCGCCTGTTCCGCGAGATGCTGGGCGTCGCCGGCATGCTGGAGGTCGTCTTGTTTCCGCGCGGGCGACTGCACGGCGAACGCTTCGTGGGCGGAGCCGCGGGTTCGGATCGCCAAGTACTAAGGGGTCGCAGCGAAGACGAAGCAGGCGCGCTCGCACCCTCGCCCTTTCGAGAGCGACGTGCCGGCGCAGCCCAGGCGCGGAGGTCGGCGCCGTACCTGGAGGAGCTCGTCAAGGATATCGTAGAGGGTGCCATTTCCGAGCTGCAGAAGTTCGGCGCGTTCGCGAGCGCTACGGTGGCCGAGGAAGCGCAAGAGTTTCCGGGCCGCGGGCGCTGCGTTCGCGTCGGGGGGGCGACGCGCCGCGGCGCCGTGCCACGACAGATCTGCAACGGGCTTGTTTCCGGGGGCGGTTCTCAGAGGGGCGAGGCGATCGGGCGCGCCGCCAGTCGCCGCGGCCAGGGTTTCAATGGCGACGTCGCGGGGTCGCGGGTGGACTTCGAGAGGGGGGGCCTCTCCTCTGCCACGAACCGACATTACTTTCTCCCGAATCACCATCGCCCGCGGAATTTTCTTCGAGGTCGAGCGCGCCGCGGTGATCTCCGCGAACCGCCGGCGGGCCACCGAGGGCGGGGTTTTCTGCGGGGCGCGCGACGCCCTGGACGACAAGAGCCTCGCGGAGAAGAGCAAGAGGTCGGAGGTCGCAGCGCAGTCGTGGCGGGGCGAAGTAATCGCATCGTGGTTTTCTTGGCCTCTTGGAGGCATGTCGGTGGCAGCCGTCGCGGGCCACCCGGGGCCGCGCCAGTGCATCGGGGGCTCTCCTGGGGCCACATCGGGAAGAGGAGTTCTTTTGGAGAGGCGAGAATGATATCGTTAGTCCGCGTGCGCCCAGAGGGCTGGCGGGACTACCTGTTTTGGACTCCGTGCGTTTTCGGCCGCGCACGCGACCTGCAGCGGGCGCGCGTCGCCCGCCGCGCTCGTCGACGCGGTGCCCTGTCCGCCCTGGCGCGGCAGGGGCGGCGCGGCATCGCGGCAGGGTCGGCCGCCGAGGCCTCTGCGCCCAGTCTGTGGCTCTGGCAGGCGGCGGGCGGCGGCGCCAGGCCCATCTTCCAGCTGAAGAGCGAAAAGTTTGGCAGCGCCCAGTTCCGGGCCCTCTTCGCGGGGGCGGTGTTCCGCGGGCACCCCGCCGATCGCGCCCAGCGCTTTGCGCGGCGAGCCGTTGATAACGACCGCTGTAGGAAGATGCTATTCTACGGGGTCGTCGCGGAGTTCATGGCGTTCGGCATCGTTGCCACTGCGATAACAAATAAAAGCAGCGAGTCTCGATCCAGGCCTCGATAAGTTCTAGCGCTCCGTCAGATACCTCATGCGCGCTGACGCGTTGGTGTCGTTGGTTGCGTTATCCCCGATTGGGTTGAGTGCGCTCTGAGCGTGGATGCGACGGCGCATTGGAGCATTCGCATAGGTTCGAGCACAACGACACTGTAACCCCGAAGATGGGAACGTGGACACAGATGAGCATCACGCAGCAGAGTGCCTTCTTGGGGCGGAACACATTGGCGACGTAATCGTCCATGGCACGAGTCTCTCGCTCACCAGACTGAAAGATCATCGACGCCACCCAGGCAACCTCGGCGCGTTCCTCGCCCTGCCCCCGATGGCGGTCTGCAGGGGCTTCATCGCCGCAGGCGCTGCCAAGCCTTCATCGTGCTTTCATGGATTCATCTTCACGACGTATCTTTCTGTGCACTCACTCTGGCCATGGTGGCACAATCAGCCTAATCCGCGGGAGGCAGCGCGCAACCCTGGACGGACACCTCAAGGCGCATCGCCCAGATGCGAAGCGGGCGAGGACAGCGCGGGCGAGGACAGCGATGCCGATGATCTGCCCGATGCTGAGCAGCCAATGTAATGGTGGAGCGGCTTCGTGGCGTGATTCTAGCACATGGAATATCCGATCGCGCGCTTTCTCTGGGGCGCGTGCGTCGTGCGCCTCGAGTGCAACCTGAAAGTTTAAAGACGAATTCAGCTACCCAGCGTTGTGGTGCCATCTCGGCTTCGTGCTCCCGCTCTTGTTCTCGTTGTTTGGTTTGTTTCACTTTGTTCCGGTTGAACTAACTCTTGCCCGGGCCTTTTTCCGCGCCCGACAAGGAGGTGCCCCGCGCGATCGCCTGTCAGGTCTAGCAGGCCCGCGCGGACTTCGTCTTAATCCAGAGCAGGATTATTGGCCTCGGCGGCGCAGGGCAGGCGAAGACAGCGAACGGCGGCGACGATGCCGCGGAGAGTTTGGACCCGCTGAGAATTTCGGCCTCGCCCGGCGCGCCTGTGACCAAAGGAGCTCGGGAGCCTTGGCCTGGATCGATGCGCGCGGGGTCAGCCGGAGCGCCCGATCTTGCGGGATCCTGCAGGGCCAGGGGCGCGCTGGCCCGGGCTTGGGCGCAGGGCCCCGCAGGATTTTGCAGGACCCTTCGCATTGACCCGGGCTTGGGCGCAGGATCTTGCAGGATCTTGCAGGATTCTGCAAGGCCTGACTGACCCGGGCCTGGACTGGCCCGGGCCAGAAGGTCCCCGAGGAGCGCGCCCCGGGCGTCTTCGGTCTCGTGGGCCAGGCGCGCGCGGCCGCGCGATGGGCGCGCAGGTCCCCGCGGACCTGCTGGACGGCGCCCTCATGGCTAAGATGGGCGGCGAACAGGGCAACGTAGCATGGCCAGTCGGCCTTGCCGAGACGGGGCGGCAGGGCGAATGGGTAGGAAGCGACAGCGCCTACCAGACGTTCACAGAATTTTCGGCGGTGGAGCCGAGAGGAAGGAGTCCGCTCCGCGGCGCTGGGGCGAGCATCCCGGGTTGGTTTGCACGTTTTTTGTTTGTGCAGTCTGCCTTATTCCTGCAAATGGCTTTTGACGTGCGTACAAATGAATTAGTGGTCAGCTGTATCATGCTTAATGCTCGAGGTGGGTTTGATCTCAGCAGGCTGTGGCGTCCGCCAGCTTCAGCTTAAAGTTGCCGTCGTGTATTCGAAACGAGTTGTCGAGTTGTTCGGTACACGCGCCAAAACGATTTTTTTGACCTGGGTGCTTCCGAAACCAGACGAATGTCAACGCTTTTTGTTCTACGGTTAATGCAGCGTCGACCACGCTGGAGGCCAACAGTTTTCAACAATCTAGAGAGGGGGCCCAGAAGGAACATCCAAGAGAGACAGTGAGAGAGAGGGAGGACAGTTAGATTCATCTAGTGGCCTTCGGCCCATTCCGCCACAGTTCTTGGTTCGTGGGTATAACGCATATTGAATGTTTGTTGGGATCTCGTGGGGGGCCTGTCGGGGGCCTCTCGGAGGCAGCTTAAGGCATCTTAGGTGACCGTTTTGGGGCCTCTTGGGCCCTCTTTTGGGTTTCTCGGGGCCTCTTGGACACCTCTTGGAGCCTCCTGGGGGCCCCTTGGGGTGGAAGGCTCGGATTTTCGTTCGTGTTCCCTCTCTTGGGTCCCTTTGGGACTGTCTTGGGGCCCTCTCGGGCCGTCTTGGGCGCCTCTTGGCCCGTCTTGGGGCCCTCTTGGAGATCCCTTGGGCCGTCTTGGGGCGGTTTCGGGGGCCTGGTGGACCGTCTTAGAGCGTCGGAGAGCCGAACAGCCGAACAGGCGAGAACGCTGAACCTTCTTCAGAAACGTGAGAAATAAGTGATTGTTGCTGCTTGTGGTCCTCTTGGAGGGCCTCTCGGAGGCCTTTTGTGGCGTCTTGGAAGCCTCTAGGGCCATCTCGTCGTGCAGCGATCTTGTGGCGACTTGGGGCCCTTTTGAACACTTCCAGGTGCCTCTTAGAGCCGCTGAGCCGTGTAAGCTCGTTTTGGTGCCCTTCTGATTGGGGTAGGGCGACGACAACTCGGGAAACAATTGGTCCGGGCCTGACTTACAACTCTGACAGCAGCAGCACAGCCGTCTCAGTGCTGCATGAGCCATGGAGCACTCCACTTCGTGCCAGCGGCACGGTGGCGGATAATCGGCCAAAGAGGGGGACGGTTTTTGTTCTAGGAGGAGAGATGATAAGGAAACGTGACGATGAGGATAAGTTGAAGGAGTATGACGAGAAGGAGGGAGGTGACGGAGGAGACGGGAAGGAAGTAACGGGAGAAATTGGAAGCACCGTTTCATGTTTACGCTTTTTTAGTTTGTGAATTTGTCGGTGCCATGTTTTATGTTGCCGATGTCGGAGCGGAAGGTGTGCAGCTTACTCAGCTTTGATTGCCAGTTCGACTCGTGGAAGCATGTTTGTATGATTGAAATTTTGTTGGTCTCTCACTATTGGTCATGACGGGTTTTTCACCATGCGTTGCGTGTGCTAGCTAATATTTGTTGGTTTGTTGCACTCTTATTGAATTTCAGGGCGCGTGCTGTTCATACGTTGCCACTGTTGTTCGTCCTCGGCCTCCTGTGGCTAGCTAGCGTCCGGCGCGGCCGAGTTTTTGCAGCAGTATCCCTTGCCCGCGGGCGATAGTGCAGATTGTAGGGGCTTCAGCGGCTGCAGGACCTTGACCCGCCCTTGCACATCGAGGGAAGGAGGACGAGGAAGACGAGGAGGGGAGTATATCTGCGGAAAATTGTGATTCCACGTTCAAGGAGGCTCTGCGCGAGGTCAGCACCCCGTGCAGGCATGAGGATTGCCTGTGGACCCTCCTCGAGAAGATGATCATCGATTCGAGAGGGGGGGTGTCCCCTTCTTCCTCCCCTCCTCCCTCCCCTCCTCTGTCTCCCTCTTCTCCCTCTTCTCCCTCTTCCTCTCCTTCTTCCTCCCCTCCTCCCTCCCCATCCTCCCCTCCTCCTTTTCCCTCCCCTCCTTGCTCCCTCCCCTCCTCTGTCTCCCCTGGCGTGCCTGGCCCGTGCGGGAGCATGGGCAGCATGTGCCGCCGTGTGCAGTTCTCGAGACCGCACCGGTGCATACGGCCGAGGCCCCAGTCTGTAGCTGGGGTTGTTCGCTGCGGAAGTTGGCGGAGATGTCAATGTAATCACGAACGCATCGATTCGAAAGGGATGAAGAGTTCTCGTTTTAGCATGGCCATCGTGCTCGGCGACGACTTCGAGCTGAACGACTGCGGGACGGGACTGCACGGACATCGCGACTACGTTCGATCCCAGCCTCTTCAACGACCAAATTGACCTCCGGCGGGGCCCTCCGCTGATACCAGAGCTTTTCCACGCCTCCATTCAGCAGCGGTCGGAGCGAGCGTCGGCCAAGAGCGTGCTCCCCTTCATCAGTGGAAGGGAGGACAGGCCGCTGGTGATCGCAAAATACGGGGACTCGTTCCCGTAGGTGACGACGACGGGCGCGCTCGACTAGCGGGGGTCCCAGAACGGTGTCGTTACACATCGTGTGGTGATTCCGAAAGCCCAGAACCCCCCACCGCACGGTCTCCTCTTGGGTCGTCTTTGTGCCCTCTTGGGGCCGTCTTGGGGGTCTCTTGGGCAGTTCTGAGGCCATCTTGGAGGCCTCTTGGGCGCTGTGGGGGCGATCTTGGGGGCCTCTTGGGCCGTCTTGGGTCGTCGGAAAGCCGAGAAGAAGCGAATGCCAAAATCATTCAACAACCTACGGAAAATCAATGATTTGGGCCTCTTCGGGCCCTCCGGGAGGACCTCTTGGAGGCCTCTTGGGCCGTCTTGGAGTGGGTAGCTGTAGGCGAGATTGTGCTGGCAATTGGCTCCGTCCCGCTTCCATAAGTTTTCGGCACAAAGGGTTGCGGCTGATGCAAGCGCTCTCCCCCTACCTCGCCCAGGCCGCGGGGTACGCCTTTGGATACTGGAGCGCGGGGGGGCAGCGGTGCATCTGCGCTTGTGAGTGCGACGTCTCGGGCGGCATTGACCGCGACATCATCGCGGTGTTGCAACGTCAACAGGACCGTTGTGGGCCTGACCAACTGACTGCTGCCTCCCCGAGCCCGTGTGTTTGCACACCGACTCCAGCGCTCGCCTCGGCGGCGACGGGCTTCGCCATCGGTCTGATCACAGGGGTGATCCTCTGCCTCGTGTGCTACGCTTGCTTCTGCCGACTGCAGCATGGCGGCCCCGCACCCACCTGCTCCTCGCTGGCTGCGATCGATGACGCCAGGGTCGCGCCTGTACGTGCTATACAGCAGGGAGGAGTCGCTCTGGCACGAGAGACTTCTCTGCGGGCGCGTACGTTTGGACGGGTGGTCTTGGGTGGTCCTGACTCCGACTCTGGATCAGCATGAGGAGGATTTCAGCGAGGCGCTGGAGATCATAGGTTGCGGCCCCAAGGGCGGGACGCCACTCAAATTGTACGGGAAGAAGCTGTACAAGCTGGGGCACGACACCAACAGTCACTACCTGGACTACCTGGAGTCTGGGGCGAAGCTCGCGGACGAGCTGGTGGCTGCGGGTGGGGCGGGTGAAGCCCCTGTTGACGAGCCGCAGGTCGCACCTTTCACCGAGGCCGAGCCCGTCGTCGAATGCCACCCGGAGACTCAGTGGGTGACGCTCGAATCGCGGCACGGCTACAAGCAGTGCGACCCCATCTCCGTGCAGGGGTTGCCGTTGCTACGCTCTGGCGACCGCGGGATCCTGGACCTCCCCAGCGGACCCATCGCTGTGGGCATCGCGGGCTCGACTGAAGGCACGGCCACGCCGCTTACGGAGCCCTTGGATGGCGCTTGCTTGGCCGGACCGCGGATGGCGACTTTGCCCGTGCCACCTTTCCCGAGCGCACACAGCTGCTTGCAGCTCCGAGCGAGGCCAGCTGGAGAGTGCAAGGCCCACAGACTACATTGTGGGTAATGCAGACTCACGTCGAGGCCAACACGACACCAAAGCAACGACACTTCTGGTGGCGACAGGTCTTGGGCCTCGTGTCGACGGACCCTGGAGTTGAGGAGCACTGTTTCCTGTGCGAGCTGATGGAGGTAGCGATCGCCAGAGGGAGCTGGTGTCGAGACGGCCTCAACATCGCGGCGCTGGAGGCGTTCGAGACGGTCTCGCGGCGCTTCCAGCTCTGGGAGGAGTTCTACGCGGAGGCGTTAGGGCTCGCAGAGGCAGGAGATCACGGGGGCGATCTGGACGAGAGGAGGCTCTTCTTAGGGAGCCACAGGAGCAAAGGCTTGGCCATCGTCTCGCCCCAGCTCGAGCAGTACGTGGCCTCCAAGCTCCAAGAGGAAAGTGCAGTGCTCAAAGAACGCCGTAAAGGCCGCGAGGAGCGACGTCTTGCTCGCGGTGACCCTACAGGCCCAACTACATCTTCAGCTCCTGGCGCTGGATCTCTTGGCGCAGACGGAGCTCACGCAGGAGGTACTGGCCAGCCCTCAGGACGTGGGAGAGGGCGTGGCCGTGGGCGGGCCTAGCGCTCGCCCCTCTTCTTTACCCGGCTGCCTGCCGTCGCCCCCGGGCGGTGGGCTTTCCCACAGGGGAGGCGCGTACGTGGTGGTCTGTGCGTGCTTGGTGTTTGTCGGAGCTATGGAGGTCCAGCGTGACATCCTCCCAGTGCCGCTGGGTCCTGGACTTGCTGCTGAGCTGCGTGGTGAGGCGGTTCCTCCTGGTCGCCCTCGCCGCCGCCGCCAGGGGCAGCGTCTTGCACAGGAAAGGTGGTTGCGGGAGGGGATAGCGGCCTTGAACGAGTTGGGCGGTCGAGGCGAAGTGGCTGACGTTCGTCGTCGGCTTTCGCTACAGTCGGGGGAACGCAAGACCCGAGCAAGCCGGAACTCGGGTTTGCCGACGTTTTTGTTGACGAGCGCGTCCTGGATTTTGACGGTCCGGTTTTCGTGGGATGTCTGCAGCGGGAGCTCGCGTCAAATTTCAGATTGGGCCTCGTCATTTTTCTGATCGCCCCGTCGGGCCAACCCGAGTCCCCCGTACCCGAGTCTTACGTTTCCCCGATACAGCTGCAGCTTGCTGTTCGTCACCTTGCTCGGGCCTGTGGCAGCGTTGGGCCGCCGCCATCAGACTTCGACGCCCAGGGGGCGTTCAGGGCGCTTCAGGGTTCGAGGAGCGGTTATGCTGACACGCTGACCGATGACAAGATTGCTACTTACAGACGGGGCGACGTTTCGCTCCCGCGGGCTAGAGCTGGTGGTGTGCCCTTGCTGGACTGCCTCAGCCCCGACCTGCAGTCAGTTTTGGTGAGTGGTCGAGGCCTTTTTCGCGAAGATCATGACCGCGATAATGCTCTTCTGGATTCTCCCCTGCGGCCTGCCATGGACGTCTGCCTAAGCAAGGGCGGCGCCGACTACGGCCATTTCCTGGGAGAGCTGTTCGACCTCGGGGCGATCGAGGTTTGCTTGAACCCGCGCGAAGTGCGCGGGCTCTTCTTCGCGCCTAAGAAGGACGGGCGCCTGCGGCTGGTCTGGGACACGCGACGGTCCAACGCCCACTTCCTGCCGCCTCCTTTCACGGCCCTGCCTTCGGGCGAGGCTCCGGCAGCGCTGGAGGTGGATGCCAGCGCGGCTGGGGAGGGGATCGTCGCGCCCAGCGCAGACGTGGAGGTTTGTTTCTACCAGTATGAGTTGCCAGAGCCCCTGCGGCCCTTCTTCGCGCTGAAGGCGATCGACGTGAAGTACCTGCCCAGGGCGGTCCGACAGCGCGTGGAGAACTTGGCGTCGGACGGGCAGCTGCAGTTCCAATCGCGTGTGGTGCCTATGGGTTGGGTGTGGTCCGTTCACTTCATTCAGCATGCTCACCTGAATTTATTGAAGTCAGTGCGACCTACGGATTCCTGGGTTCTGGACAAGGTGCCGACCGAACCAATCAGTCACGGGAACCTAGCGAAGATCCTTTACATCGACAACTTCGCTACGGCGGGGCCCGCCAGTTCACGCCCGGAGCTCGCTACCGCAGACATGTTGGACGCCTTGACGGAGGCGGGCGCGTGCGCCGAGGAGGGCCCAGAGTCGGACACCCTCGGCATCCACGACCTTCTCGGCTTTTCCCTCATAGAGCACCGCGCCACATGGACGTTGAGTGCTCGGAAGTTCTGGAAGGTCAAGGGCGCCTTGGACTTCATGATCGGGGCCGAGCAGGGGTTCATGGGCTTGGAGATGGAGCGGCTCCTGGGGCATTTGGTCAGCTGCTTCCTGCTGCGGCGCGAGATGCTGGCGCTGCTGCGCGCGGCGTGCACCTTCGCCCAGGAGACCAAGGGCCGCCGCGTCCCACTTTGGCCTTCAGTGCGGAAGGAGCTGAAGTGGTGCCGTGCTCTTCTTCCACTCGTCACCGCCGACATGTCTAGGACCTGGTTCAGCAAGCTCACGGCTTATGACGCTAGCCCCTGGGGCTACGGGGCGTGCGAGACCCCAGTTTCGTCAGCCATTGCGGGACAGATCGGGCGGCTCAACGATCGGGCCAGGTGGAAGGGACTGTTGGCCACAAATCGTCGACCAAGAGATGACCTACTGGAACGTGACGCCTGCGACTATGACTTCAAGACCCCCGGTGATCGCGATGCCATCTTGTCAGCGGGCGTCGAAGCGGGCTTCTCCGAGGTGGACCCAGCTCTTCTGAGGAAGGCGTCATGGTGCACAGTAGCAGCTAGGCCGTTTGGTGCACGCCAGCCGATCCATCTGTTAGAGGGAGCCTCGCTGTTGCATGGAGTGCGTCGTGCCGCTGGAAACAGCAAGGGTCATTCACATCGTCTCGTCTTCCTGGGTGATAACATGAGTCTCATCTGTGCTATGTGCAAGGGCAGGGCCACGGACTTCTATCTGAACTCGATCTGCCGCGAGATCCTGGCGATTAGTTTGGCCGCCGATTTCAAGCTGGCTCATCGGTGGATCCCGTCAGAACGAAATGCTGCCGACAAACCTTCTCGTCGATACATGCCAAAGTGGGGGGGCCTGTCCGGGGAGTTTCCGCAGCCGTCTGATCGCCAAGATGGGCCGAGGGACCGCCGCGCAGCGCCCCAGCGGATCGCGAGCTGGACACCGCATTCCAGTGCGTTCGGGACAGGCTGCTCGCCAGTGGACTTCGTCCGCGACGCGGGGGCACGCTGGAGGGCCTGCGGAGGTGCCGGCCGCCATCCCGCGGCGGCAGGATGCGCGGCCCGCCTTGCAGCCCGCCGGCGCCTTGGGCCGCCGCCGGGACTCGGGCCGAGTTGGCGCGTCTGCGCGGCCGCTTGGCGCCGCGGCTCACGTCCCTGCAGGCCAATCGCATCAGAGAGAACACGCAGTTGTCCTACCTGGGGATCCTCGAGCAACTGGTGGCGTTCTTGCAGTACCAGACTCTGCCGCAGTACTCCGCCGCGGCCTGGGGCCCGATCTTGGTGGATTTCATCGAGAGGCGCTTCGACCAGCAGGAGTCGAGGGAGCCCACTGTGCGGGTGCTGTACGCGCTGCTGTGGGCTTCGCCTCACCTGGGAGGGGTGGCCCGCCTGCAGTTTCCGCAGGCCTTCGCATCGGTGCGGGGCTGGGCCAGACTCAGCCCTCCAGCATCGAGGCCGCCATTGCCCAGGCAGGCCGCCTACGCCATGGCGAGCAAGCTGCTGGACTACGGCCAGGAGAGGGCCGCGCTCGGGTGCTTGGTCATGTTCGAGACGTATTATCGCGTCGGCGAGCTGCTATCGCTGCGTATGTTCCAGATCGTGGAGCCCGACCCGCGATCGCCAGGCGCGGCAGGTTGCCCCACCATTGTGCTCAGCGCCGCAGAGCTGCAGGTTCCTTCGAAGACGGGAGAGCTGGACAGCAGCATCGCCTTCGACCTGCAAGAGCACCGTTGGGTTGGAATGCTCTTGGCCACGCTCAAGAAAGCGTTCACAAACCAGCCTATGGAGCGCGTGGTCAACATCTCGTACAATGCCTTGCTCATGCTGCTCGAACGGACGGCGTCCGAGCTGGGGATCAGCACATTGCAGCCTACGCCGCACCGTTTCAGACATGGAGGGGCCAGTCACGATCGTGCTGCGGGAAGGCGCCCCCTGCAAGAAGTACAGCGCCGCGGCATGTGGAAGGTACACAGCAGCGTGGCAAGGTACGACAAGCACGGCAGGGTGGGCCTTCGATTCTCTCGAGAATCGCATGTGTCGCGCGGAGCACGACTTCAAGGTGCGCTTCAACAGGCTCTTCGGCCCTCACGTCAGTTCCGTATCTTCCTCGAGCTGTTCGCCGGCACTGGTGCCTTGGCAGCCGCTATGAAAAGGAAAGGGGTCCCTGTGCTCGCCTTCGACGTCAGCCAGGGCCCTCGCATGGACCTGCTGAACGACGACGTGTACTCGCGCCTCCGGGGATGGATTTCAGGCGGGGTCGTGTTGGGCCTGCGGTCAGGGACGCCGTGCGGGGGTATGTCCCGAGCTCGTCGTGGGCCGCCTGGGTCTCGCCTGCCACATGCCCTTCGCAGTCCAGAGCATCCTGAAGGGCTGCCGCATCTCAAAGATAAGGATCGAGCCAAACTCGTAGAGTCCAATCGTCTGGCACACAGGGCTTTGGCGCTGTTGCAGCTAGCAGCGCAGCGCAACATCCCAGGTGGTGAAGAAAATCCTGAGCCCAGTTAATTGTGGCTGTTGCGATCTCGGCAAAAGTTCGCGGATCGTTTCGAAACCGTCGATTGTGTTGTTGATTATTGTGCGTGCGGACGGCCCTGCGCACTTTTAACGTGCACGTCTCTGACCACTTGTTCCGCCTGCGCTGCCGAGGTCGCGGGATTTGTGACTTCACAGGCAGGCCTCATGAGAACCTGTCTGGCACAATGCAAGGAGGAGGATTCTTTACCAGTGCCAAAGCCGCCTATCTTCCCCGCCTCGCCTCCATGTTAGCCAATGACATATTCCGTGCTTGCGATATGCGTAAAACTTCTCGCCGATGGAATTTGTTAAAGTGATTCCTTTTCTCGTCCGAGAATGGTTTCGGTAAACCAACCTCATTGCTGTATGTGGGTGTCTGTGTGTGGTTTTTGCCTGTTCGTTCGACCTGTGCGCTCGGTCTCGGCAGCCCTCGCAGTGCGCTTGTCCTTCAGCACATGTCTGGAAAAATGAACAGCTCATGGGTAGCTGTAGGCGAGATTGTGCTGGCAATTGGCTCCGCCCCGCTTCCATAAGTTTTCGGCACCCACCCGTGCCCGCCCTAGAAGTACGCTGCACGCCTATCGCAGTATTCCAATCGCCCAAAGAGCTTTTCGCATCATGACGCAGGCCCATGATCCTGCAGGGTTTTGCCTGTTCGTTCGACCTGTGCGCTCGGTCTCGGCAGCCCTCGCAGTGCGCTTGTCATTCAGCAAATGTTTGGAAAAATGAACAGCTCAGCCTCTTGAGGGCCTCTTGGTCCGTCTTGGAGTCTTGGAGGCCATCTTGGACCATTTCTAGGCCATCTTGGCCATCTTGGAAAACATCATGTCGGCCATATTCGATCATCTTGGCCATGTTGCAGGCCATCTTGGGCCATAGCGAAACGGCCGTTTTGGGGCCTTTGCTGCCACGGTTTTGGGACCCGGTGGCCCTGGTCGCCCGAGACGTTTTCGGAGACTGACCCGAGTTCCAAATCCGTGCGGTGACCGTGAATCCCCACCGTCTCCCCGCACGGTGTGGCCATTCCAGGGGCATCTGGCGCCTGGCCGAGGTGCAGGCGCTGGCGGCGGCGCTGCCACGCCCCATGGGCCTCGAGCGCCTTGAGCTCGCCCAGGACCGCATCAGCTCCTCGGGAGCGCGGCTCCTCGCGAACCAACAACGCACACCCATACCCATAGGAGCATCGGAGAGGGCTATGGGTGCGTGTTGTCGGATGGAGGTCCCCGCTCGAACGGGAGCGTTCCCCAGGGTCCGACAACCCGCACCCATACCCATAGCCAGTCCTCCTCCCAACGACCCCCCTATGGGTATGGGTGTGTGTTGTTCGTCCGTCACCTGTGCCCGGCGCTCGGTGATCTCACTGCCGTCGCCAACGGCGACCGGGGCCCGCGGGGCAGCTGCGGGTGCCCCGCGCGCCGGCGCAGCTCCGCCTGGGCGCCTGCTCGCGCCAGGGCGGCTATGCGCGAGGCACGGGGGCCGGATCTGCCCCGGCTGCCGGTGCGCCCTCTTCCTCCTCCTCCTCCTCCTCCTCCTCCTCCTCCTCCTCCTCCTCCCCCTCCTCCTCCTCCTCATCCTCCTCAACAATTACTCAATATGAATATACTCTCCCTCTTCCCCTGATGGCGTCCGGGTGATAGCCGCGCACCCTCCGCGTACTGTTTTTTAACACACAGGATGCCCGGAAAATCCCGGGAAACGACTCTCGCTGAGGCGCCGGCGTCATTTTTCCCAAAATGCTGCTCTCGCGCCGGCGTCATTTTTTCCCAAAATGCTGCTCTCGTTGAGGCGCCGGCCTCATTTCTGCTCCCGAATCCTTCCCCTGATGGTGTCCGGGTGATAGCCGCGCACCGTCCGCGCACTGTTTTTTTACACACAGGATGCCCCGAAAATCCCGGGAAACGACTCGCTGAGGCGCCGGCGTCATTTTTTCCCAAAATGCTGCTCTCGTTGAGGCGCCGGCCTCATTTCTGCTCCCGAATCGTTCCGACTCGTGCTCCCACTGCAGCGTGGGCCTCATTTTCGGATCGGTGTTTGGTCTCCGTCGTTCAGGATGGCGTTCTCGCCCCAGCGCGGGCCTCTTTCTCGCGCGCCCATCCGCCCGCCACCACCGCGCCGCACCGCCACCACCACCACCACCACCACCACCACCACCACCACCACCACCAGCACCAGCACCAGTACCAACACCACCACCACCAGCACCACCACCACCACCAGCACCACCACCACCACCACACCACCACCACCACCACACCACCACCCACCACCACCACCACCACCACCACCACCACCACCACCACCACCACCACCACCACCACGACAACCACGCACACACGCACGCACGCACGCACGTGCACCACCACCCACTACGCACGCGCGCGCGGAGCCACAGGTCCGCTACGACACGCGTCCGCGGATAGAGAAAATCAGCGCCATGGTAAGGGATGGGAGGGAGGGGTAGGACGTCAGATATGACGCGAGCGCACCTAGCTTGTCCTCCTCCCCCTCCCCCTCCTCCTCCTCCGCCTCTTTCTGCTGCTTCTCCTCCTCCTCCTCCTCGCGTGGAACTTGTTGTTCGGCGCTTGCGCTCCCGTGTCCACCAGCACCACCACCACCAGCACCACCACCACCACCATCACCACCACCACCACCACCACCACCACCACCACCACCACCACCACCACCACCAATACCACCACCACCACCACCACCACCACCACCACCACGACAACCACGCACACACGCACGCACGCACGCACGTGCAACACCACCCACTACGCACGCGCGCGCGGAGCCACAGGTCCGCTACGACACGCGTCCGCGGATAGAGAAATTCAGCGCCATGGTAAGGGATGGGGGGGAGGGGTAGGACGTCAGATATGACGCGAGCGCACCTAGCTTGTCCTCCTCCCCCTCCCCCTCCTCCTCCTCCGCCTCTTTCTGCTGCTTCTCCTCCTCCTCCTCCTCGCGTGGAACTTGTTGTTCGGCGCTTGCGCTCCCGTGTCCCTCCTCTGCGGCCGCCCTCCCCTTCCCCTGCAGTCGCACTCGCGTGCCCGCAGCTCCGGCGCGGCCCGCCGGCTGTGCGGGCGCGCTGTGCGCCCGCCCTCGCCGCCGACCAGCAACTCCTGCTGCGGCTGCTGCTGCAACAGGGGCGGGCTCGTGCGCCAGCGCGCGACGGGGCCGACGCGGAGTGCAGAGCGGGCGCCCAGCTCTGCTGCAGGTGCCTGGCCTGAGGCGGCTGGGTGTTCCATGCGCGCGTGCCTCGCCAGAGTGCCAGTTCGCCCCGCCGCCCAGTGGCGCCCCCGCCCAAGGGAGGGGGGGGGGTGGGAGGAGGGAGGATCTGGGGGGAGACGCCCAGCGTGCTCGAAGTAGCACTGCTGGGGTGCGACTTGCGGAACAGGCGAGCACATGGGGTGGAAGGCTCTGTGCGTCCGCAGACGTGACGTGAGGACAAGACAATCGACTCGGGCGTAGTAAGCTAGTACCAGTTAAAAAAAGGGGTGGCCCGCAGCAGCGCGCTAAAGCAAGGAAGACAGAGGCGAAGGGAGCGGACGAGAGACGATTCGACCGCAAGGGACTCAGGACCCAACGTGCGGCAGGTCGGAGTTCAGGTCTTGGTCCTCCTGCCAGGGTGCAGTTTGATCCGATCCGTCCGATTCGATATCGATTCCAGCATGCCCGGTCTGGGCCGATCCCGATCTTCTGTCGATCCGATCTGGCCCGACGACTGCATGGGGCTCGCCCGCGTCCCTGGCGCGCCGTCCCAGTCCGGTTCCGCCTCCGTCCCGACGCGGCCCGACCCGACTTTCGGCCCGCTTCGATCCGAGCAGGTTTTCCGACCCCCGGTCCTCGCCCTCGGTCCTCGATCCCGCCCCCTGGCCCTCGATCCCGGCCCCTGGCCTTCGATCCTCGAGGCCCCCCCCCCCCAGAGAGCCACAGGCGAAGCCGACCCCATACCCCCCACGATTTCTGAGGGGGGAGGGTGGGGCAGGGGCCGGGCTCGCATCTGGCCCCCTACCCCTCAGAAGTCGTTGGGGGGCACGGGGTCGGGTTCGCAGGAGGAGGAGGAGGAGGAGGAGGAGGAGGAGGAGGTCCTCGATCCCGCTGGCCGATCCTGCCCCCTCGCCTGCGATCCTCGGCCCTCCGGCCTCTCCTCGCCCGCCCCGCTCGCCTCGTCCTCCTCCCGGCCCCCACCCCGGCCCGAGGAGGCGCGGCGGCGCATGTCGGAGCAGGAGCGCGCGCGCGGGGAGGGGGGGGGAGGAGGAATCGGAGGGGAGGAGGAATCGGAGGGAGAGGAGGAAGAGGAAGGGGGGGAGGAAGAGGACTGGGGGAGGAGGGAGAGGAGGAATAGTGGAGGGGGGAGGAGGCAGGGGAGGAGTCGGAGGGGAGCGAGGGGGGGGGCATGCGGAGGAGAAGACCCTCTCAGAGGGCGGCGGGACTCCTCAGAAGGCCCACGGCCATCTCTGAGGTGTTTTCTGTGTCTTCGGGGAAGGCTTACGGAACTTCCCAGAAGGCCGGAGGACTTCTCGCTTCCCCCGCGGGCTTACCCAGAAGGCCCTGAACTTCCCAGAAGGCCCAGAACTTCCCAGAAGCCTTACGGGCCGCCCCTTCTCGCTTCCCCCGCGGGCGCGCCGCCGAGGGGGAGGAGGAGGATGAGCGAGCACGAGCAGATGACTATGGCTTCGGAGGTGTTGGAACGTCTTCGTAGGTTCCCAGAGGCCTCCTCGCCCTGGCATGCTTTCCAGCAGCTGCGCCTCGCCGGGAGCGTTCCGGGGGTGCCCGCCCCGCCTCGAGCGGCCGCCCGCGGCTCGAGCTGTGGCCCCGAAGCGGAGAGGGGGGAGGTGGGGGAGGGAGGGGATGGAGGGAGGGGCGGGAGGGGGGGGGTGGAGGGAGGGATGGCGGGACGGAGGAGGAGGGGGAGGAGGGATGGGTGAGGGAAGGAGGGAGGGAGGGAGGAGGGGGAGGGAGGGGAGGGAGGGAGGGCGGGAGGGGGGGAGGGAGGGAGGGGGCAGGAGGGAGGGGAGGAGGGAGGGAGGGAAGGGAGGGAGGGAGGCGCCCGTGCGAGCGGAGAGCCGATGCGGGCGAGCTGGCTGGCCCGAGACCGCGCCCCAGTGCACATGACATGACTGGGGCCCACCTGGCATGCTCGATGCACCGCACATCGTTGAGCGGTGCTGCAGCCTCCCTCGGGCACAGGCCAGGAGGAGGAAGAGGAGGGGGAGGAGGAGGAGGAGGAGAGAGGAGGAGAGGAGGAGGAAGGAGGAGGAGGAGGAGGCGGAGGAGGAGGAGGAGGAGGAGGAAGAGGAGGAGGCAGGAGGGAGGAGGGAGGGAGGGATCGAGGGAGGAACGGGAGGAGGAGGAGGGAGGAGGGAGGAGGAAGGAGGAAGGAGGAGGAGGGAGGAGGGAGGAGGGAGGCGGGAGGGAGGAGGAGGGAGGAGGGAGGGAGGAGGAGGGAGGAGGGAGGAGGAGAGGGAGGAGGACGATGCGGAGGAGGAGGAGGAGGAGGAGGAGGAGGAGGAGGAGGAGGAGGAGGAGGAGGAGGAGGAGGAGGAGGAGGAGGAGGAGGAGGAGGATGGGGAAAAGGTGAGGGTGAGGAGGGGGACAATAGTCTCACCTTGCCCTCAAGGGGCCGCCTGCAGGCCTGTCGGGGCCCTCATGGGGCTCTCTTGGGGCCCTCTTGGGGCCACTTGGTGTTCAGCCGAGATTGTCTTGTGGCGGCCGCTGGGCTTCCGTGTGGCCCCCTTGGACTACCTTGGCGCTGCCTTTGCCACGCTGGAGCCCTTTTTGGACAACTCTGGGGACCTCTCCGGACCCTGGAGGTACTTTGATGCGCTCGCCCCCCCCCCCTCCCTTGTGCCCCCCCCCCGCAACCAGGATCGTGGCCCACAGGTGAGGGGGAGCATGGGGGAGTGGGACAGCCAAGCAACATCCCGCACGCCGTATCGCTCCAGGTAAGCGGAAGCCTACGGATTTTAGCAAGCCTAGGGCATGTGACCGTAATGGGTGGTACCGCTCGCACGCATATGTATTGAGCAGTCGATCACAAGTTTCAAGCATGTGGCCAGTCGTGATCGGTACGTATGGCCGCGTGCACATGCGAGAGGCGACAGTTCGTAACAGTAGGACTCAGCCATGTTTTGGGGAATGGCGGTTAGAAGCAGGCTTCGGCTGCGTAGTCAAGTCAGGTAAGCGGCAATTCTAGAGTAACCAGCAAGGATAGTTTGCATGAAGCATGATTTGCTGTGCTAAGTCCCGAGCGCTACGCGCAGGTGCGCCTGTCGATTGCACCTGGCAAAGAGCTCCAGGCATCGCCTCTTTCCCTGTCTCTCTCGCTCATGTTCCCTGCTCGGGGGAGAGCGAGCACAACTTCCGACCCATTCAACCTTACCCGCTTCTCCTCTTGCGTTTCGCCTCCACCGTGACCCATTCGCACTTTCCCTATCATTTGTTCTGTCATTTGTCTCCTGGCAGTTGTCGCTTCTTACTATACATTCTCTTCTCTCCTTTGGCATGCTTGCTTTTCTCTTTAGAGTTGCAAATTCTCCATCGCGTTCCTCGTCCTTCCTTGGTATTTCACGGTACTTGTTCGCCTACCTCTTGCCGCTTGTATCAGTTTTAGTTGTTTGTGTCGGTTTGTCTTATTCTGTATTTCCTTATTTGTTCATCTTTCTTTCTCCCTGTCCAGTGTATTAATTCCCCTTTCCCCTTGTCCCATGTACCCTGCCCCTTTTCCTCTTTCCTCGTTCCCTCCCTCCCTCCTCCTCTATCCTTTATCATTACTCTGATTGCGTCTTATTCCTTTGTCCTTCCTCTTCCCGTCGTCCCAGAACAGTCACAGAGCAGTACCAGAGCCACAGCTGCCTCCATCAGTTGCCCAATCAATCAATCAATCAATCATACCTTCATCCCTCCTTCCTTTCCTCTCTCACCCTTCCTCTTGCCCCCCGTCCCCCTTGCATTCCCCATCCTGCTTCCTCCCCCTTCTGTCTTATATTTTTCTCCCTTCCTTATCCCCCTGCCTTCCCGCCTCCCTCCTCGCCCTCCTCCTCCCTTCGTGCTCTGTCATCCCGTCTGCCTCGTTTCTCGTGGTCTTCCATCCCACGTCTCTTCTCCTCCTCCTCCTCCTCCTCCTCCTCCGTCCGTCTCTCTCTCTCTCTCTTTCTTATAGCCTGGGCTCGAGCTCCCCCGTGGAGCGAGCGCAGCCGCTGGGTACCCGCCTCCAGGGGTCGCTCCAACTCCCCACTGCCAGGCTGGATTCCTTCCCCCGGCGAGCTCGCCCCCAAAAAAGAAAAATGATACAACACAAACAACAATAGCAAAAAACAAATTCGTGCCACCAGAGCGAAATCATATGGTAGCACTCCCTCTTCCCTGTGCGCCGCGCGCCATGGCTATGGGGCCCGCGCCGGCAAACGCCCTCGCGGGGCCCACGCGCCGCGGAGCAAACGCCGCTGGCTGCCCGCAAGGACGCGTGAATCGCTGCCCTCCGCGCTGGAGGCGCTGACCACGTCCACGCGCCTTCGGCGAGCTCGCCACCAAGGTTACGTCGGGCGTGTCCCCCTACTGGGGGATTTTCGACGAAAACATGATCGACCCACGAACCCGGAAAGGAATATAGAACCGTAACACATGGCAGCGCTTTCAAAGACACCTGATTGGGGCAATGCTGAGTGGATCGATCTTGATGTACCCTGCCGAGGGCTGTGCTGTGCTGCACCGTGCTGAATGGCGATGTACCATGCCGCGATTGTGCTCTATAGCGTCGTGGATCGAGTCCTCCTTTGCATCCGAGTCCTGACCGAACTGATCTGGATCTTAAGCTCGAGCTGCCTGAACACATAGTAGCTGCCCCACAGCTAATTGACAGGGGAACATGCCAGGAGGACGCGCCGCGAAAAGTCCCAAGGGATGCGCCAGGCGACGTGCCAGGGGACGTGCCATGGGGACGCACCGCGGGACGTGCCAAGGGGACGCGCTACGGAACGTGCCAACGGATGTGCCACGGGATGTGCCAGGGGACGCGCCGCGCGACGTTCCAGGTGGACTCGCCAAGGGACGCCCCACGGAACGTGCCAAGGGACGTGCCAAGTTGCAATGCTGAGTGTATCGATCTTGATGTACCGTGCCGAAATCTGTGCTGTGCTGCGCCGTGCTGAATTGCGATGTGTTATGCCTCGATTGTGCTCTATAGCCTCGTGGATCGAGTCCTCCTTTGCATCCGAGTCCTGACCGAACTGATCTGGATCTTAAGCTCGAGCTGCCTGAACACATAGTAGCTGGCCCAGAGCTAATTGACAGGGGGACATGCCAGGAGGACGCGACGCGGAACGTCTCAAGGGACCCGCCAGGCGACGTGCCAAGGGACGTGCCATGGGGACGCACCGCGGGACGTGCCAAGGGGACGCGCTACGGAACGTGCTGGGGACAAGCGTTTCGCTCGAGACATCCTGCCAACATCCTCAGAATTCCTGCGCGCGGGACGCGGCACGCGCGAGACATCCTCGGAATTCCTGCGAGCGGGACGTGAAAACAAGCATTTCGCCTGAGACATCCTCTGAATTCTGGACCCCCACGAGGCCCCCCACGAGGCCCCCGCTCGAGACATCCCCCAATTTAGCAAAACCAGCGTTTCGCTCGAGACATCCTCAACAAATGTTTCGCTAGAGACACTCTGTCAAAATCCAAAGAAATCCTCGCAAAACAAGCGAATTAGTCGAGACATCCTCGAAATCCCTGCGCGCGGGACGCGGCACGCGCGAGACATCCTCGGAATTCCTGCGTACGGGCCGCTTTTCCGCGTCGCGGTCGGCTCTACAAAACCAGCGTTTCGCTCGAGACATCCTCGACAAATTCTGAAAACAAGCGTTTCGCTCGAGACATCCCCAACTTTGCAAAACCAGCGTTTCGCTCGAGACATCCTCGAAAAAAACTGAAAAACAAGCGTTTCGCTAGGGACATCCTCAAAAATAATTCCGCCGGCCCTCTTCCCGCACGTAATGTATCGCAGAATAATTTCGCCGGCCCTCTTCCCGTCGAAACCGAGGGGTAAATCCACTAAAAGAGAACCCTGGGCTCGAGCCCTTTCCGGGAAAATATAAAATCCCTAAAAATATTCAAAAAATATTCCAAAAATAGTCTGGGGACTATTTTTTGAGTATTGTTTGACCTTCTCGGGGTATTTTTGGGGTATCTTCTATTTTTCGTCGAAAATCCCCCTGTAGGGGGACACGGCCGACTTAACACCAAGGCCCTCGACGAGCTCGCCACGGTGCTCCGCTGGAAACAAACAGGACATCAGCCAGCTCAGGATCAGCCTCCGGCGCGTGTGCGGCAAGCACAAGGTCTGCTGGACCCGGGACCACCACTGGCGCACCAGGGCCCTTAGCACGGGCGGGGCATCTGCCCCAGCCCGTGGCGGGGGTGCTTCTGAGGTAGCAGAATCTACTCTCCTCAGTCTGGACATAGTCGGCTAGGCCGCCTCCGTTGTCGCACATCCCGCGCGTAACGCGGCTGGCGACGCCCTCACAACCAGAATGTCAGTATGCGGCCGCGACCAGGGGGAACGGCTGCTACTGCAGCTTCGCGGACATGACGCTGCTCTCGCTATCATCGTACGTGGGCAACAAAATAGCTGAGCATGGGGATGGCCGTCCCCGTTCTCCGCTGGTCACCAAGACAACGCCATCCCACTGTGGCGGTGACCTCTACCAGTTCGGAGGCACTGATGTTACTCGCCGTCGAAACAGAGTCGAGGCCCTGCTCGATCACAACCAGGCCGTCGCCTGGACCCAAGTGATCCTCCACGAGGCCGAAGCCGTCGCTCAGGCCGAGGCCTTCTCCACGCTCTTGGCGCAGCAGTTCTCGGACGCTGCCCCATCAGCAGCATGCGTCACGGCAAGACCGACGCTGGCGTAACCCAAACAGCGGCCCACGCTCGGCACCAGCAGTCCAATGATAACCAAGCTAAGCTTGAGCTCGATGTCGCTCATCAGGACTCTTATACGCCGCCGCCTTCGCTGCGCACTTCACTTTTCCACCGTCAGCGCCAAAGGGAGCCCCAGCAGGCTCCAGTCGCCACTGCACGGTGAGCCGGACGCACAAGCTATGAGCAGTTTCTGGCCTTCTCCCGCCGACGCCCGCATTGTCCTAGCCGCTTGCGGCCGCGCAGGAGTCACCTTCGAGCTCAGCTCCCGTATTAGCCCGACGCCTCCCCATCCGATGGCGTCATGGTCATCTGGTGGGCAGACGCGACTATTCCCCTCGCGGTCGCGCGCGCCGCCTTCCGCCTCGGTGCTCTCGGCGCCGTCAAGGACGAGAAGGGCGCGGGCATCCGAGTGATGCGTGTGTGCACCAGCTGCCAGCACTGTCGCCCTCGAGCTGCGCGACGCCACCGCCGCGCTGGCCATCCAGCCCTATCGCATCGCAGGCTTTGGGCTCCACGGCGTCCATGGCAACGCAGATCCATGGCAACGCAGATCCATGGCGTCCTCGCCAGCCTCCACCGGGCCGCAGAGGCCGTTTGCGCGGGCCGGAACAAGGGCACCGCGGGGCGCTTTGCCCCGGCGCTGTGCCGCTGGCCCGCCCCGGGCCCCGTCAGGCCGATAGCGCAGGCGACCGGGCGCCCCAGGTGCCGAAAGCGCAAGTCGCCACCCACGACGCGATCAGCTCCGCCGCTCCCGTCGCCCCACCAACGCCGACGGGCCCTCGATCCCAATCAACTGGCTGTGGCCTTTCGGAAGAGGCGGCCCGCCGCAGCGGGCTCAGAGTCCTGCTGGCGCGCGAGCGCAGTCCGTGCCGCTTTGGCCAAGGCTTCCTGACGGCCCTGAAGGCGGCGGCGACGTGGCCGTTGGTGACGCCCCCCTTCCCCCCCCGCGCCACTGGCGACTACGACAACAGCGAGGACGAGCTCGCCTCCCTCGGCGGATACGCCCACGGCGTGACTGACGCTATGGTCGATCGCCCCCGTCGGCTCGAGGACAGCCTAGACACCGTCTATTGTCCAGAACCGCACAGACGCCATCGAAGCCACGTGCCAAGTCACGCGAGCCAACTTCACACTCAGCGCCAGTGTGCATGAGCTCATTGCGATCTCTCTTGCCTTCCGGGCGTCCGTGGCACCAGTCAACAGCCCCGCCGACGCCCAATCGGCCACGGCGGCCCCCGACGCAGAGATCGCTGCAGCGATGGCGACTGCTGCGCGCCCTGCGCAGCAGGCCGTCGCCGCGCGCGAAGCTGTCGGTGCGGGCGCAGCTCAGACAGAGGGTGCCTCGTTTGGGGCCCCTCACCCGAGCGAGGAAGCTACTCACAACTCACAGCTCAACGCGAGCTCCGAAGTTTCAGGCTCCCCAGCCAGCGCCTACAGGCGACACTGGCTCCTCAACTCCTGCACCCCGCACTCCCACGGACGGCCTCGCCCCGCAGCATAAGGCGGGGCATCGTTTGGGAGGAGGAGGAGGAGGAGGAGGAGGAGGAGGAGGAGGAGGAGGAGGAGGAGGAGGAGGAGGAGCGACCAACCCTCGGGCACACATGCGGGGCCCTTTTTGGGCGGCTTTCGTGCCCGACGATTTCTCGGCCCACAAGTCCAAGGCCCGTTGCAGTATTGCTGATGTGCTCAACGATCGCGCCGCTCTTTGGGAGAAGCGTGGCAACGACGCCGCTGACGAATTCGCGAAGAGTGGTGCCTCCCTCCACGGAGTGGAGGAGAGCGAGTATCACCTCTAGCGAGGCCTGTTTGAGGCCTCCCGCGAGGATGGGCGGTGGAGTGGTCGGCTGCACGCGTTGGTGGGGGACGGGGAGGCCTGCCAGGGCCATGCCGATGTCATGGAGCTGTATGCGGCAGGCCGAGAGGACGCCGAGGAGGCGGCGTCAGATCCGCGGCAGCAGGCCCCAGTCGGGCCCGCTCCTGCGTCGGTGGGCGGGGGCGTGAGCCCTCTCCGGCCGTCCGCCGAAGGTTTCGATGCCTGTCGAGACATGGGCTATCGCTTTGACGGGCATCCGTTGCTGCACGCTCGGGCGTGTGCTTGTCGAGAGGACGGCAAGGCCATGCATGTTTGTTGCGCTTGCGGGGCCTCTCTCCGCGTGGAGCGGCCCACTCGTGCCCTCCTCCGCGCGTGTCTCCGTGAGCACGCGGCCTCGGGCCTGAAGAGCGCAGCTCCATCTGATCAGGGCTGGCAATCAGCCGAGCTTCAAAGTGGGTCTGAAGGACCTGCGTTTGGAGACCCCCGCAGGTGTCCCGCATGCTGGTCGTGTGCACGTGGCAGTTTTTGTGGGGCTCTGGCGATTCCGCCCCCAGCTCCTCGGGTCAGGACTCGGGGGAGGTCGGGCTTCGGGGGGTGCTTGCCTCGGGGGGGATGACGTCCCGAGCCGAGGTGCTAGGGGCCTTCGGCCTTGAGGCGAGCGCCCTCCCTGCCATCCGAGCAGAGGGCGCACGCCTCCTGAGGAAGGAGGCCGAGGAGTGGACAGACGATCCCCTGGATGATTGTTTCGAGGAGGCCTCCCACGAGTCAGAGGTCAGAGGTCCGCGACAGCGGGCGAGGTCGGCCCGAACGAACCTGGCTTCAGGCCGCTTGCTCATCTCATGTCATCTCATATCATCTCATCTCATCGCACCTCCTCGTTTTGCTCTCTTCTTCCCCCTCCTCATCCTCATCCTTCTCCTCTGCTTCCTCCTCATTTTACGCTCCTTCTCCTCCTCAAGGCTCAAGGCTGCTGGCGTTGGAATTCGGTGACGAATGCTGCTATATCTCTGCACTTTCTGATTAGAACTTCGAGGGGAATCCGGCCAATGAAGAACGTCCTTCCGGGACGGCCAACAGAAGACAGAAAGCTCCCAGCCCCGAAACCCGAGCCCTGACGTATGGTCGCAGGCGATGCAGTACCTCCGACCCCCTTGGGAAGCCTGGGTGCCTCTCTTCCGGGGGTCGCTTTCGTGGAAGCTTCTCTGCGCCGGGCGCCCGCTTGGGAAGTCCAGAACCCAAAACCGTGTTCAAAAACGGCCCTGCTAGGTCGTTGTGGGGCCCTCGTGTTGGGTAGAAAAACGTGGAAGCCCTCTACGTCCTCGTCATTCCATTTGAGAATGCCTTAGCGTGCGCTAGCGTGTGATCGTCGACGGGAGAGCGCCGATTTCGCGTCGATTGGCGTCGACTAGCGTCGGTCAGCGTCGGTCCGCAGGAGCTAGCAAAATGGCATGGGAGGCTCCCATGAGCTGCCGCAGGGCGCGTGGGTGGCCTCAGCCTCAGATCCGCCCGGCCACCCTTCCGCTTGGCCGCCCGCCCCGCTGGCCCCGGCCTCCCGCTGCGCATTCGTCGTCGTCCGCCTGCTTCTCCCCTCCTCTCCCACCTGCGCCGGGCAGCAGAACTTGCCCGGGAGCAGCCTGGAAGCACTGTTGCTGTATTTCGGGCCTCAGAGCTTCGAGGCTCGATCGTCGATCCCTGCCCCCCAGCCGCGTCGCCGCACAGGCCGCCGGGGGAGAGCATGTGCCGATCATGGTCCGCCCCGCCGGCGGCGACAGCCCCGCGCTCCCCCCCCGCCTCTGCCCTGCTCCGCGCGCGCCTCCCCGTCCTGGTCCCCCTCCTGGCGGCGACGTTCGGGCGGGTGGTAATGGGTGTGACCTCACTGGGGGGGTGACGAAGAGGGCCCTGAAGGGGCCCTCTTCTTCACCCCCCAGTCAGGTCACCCTCCATTACCACCTGCCCGAGAAGTCCGAGCCCTGCCCTCGCCGATCAACCACTTGAACAGCTCGATGGGCGGCGGCCGGGGTAGGGTGCGGAATTCGCCGCCTGCTCGTCTCCCTGGCCCAGGTTGCCTCGCCTACTTCGGATTCGGGGGCGTCCAAGAGGTGGGTGGTGACTACGGTGGGGTGGACATCATGGCCAGGGACACGATACTTCCCCAGATTTCATGGCCCCTTCTCTAAGTTCACAACGTTCCCTGGCCGCCTGGCCCCCCCCCCCTGGTCCGCGGGCCATGATTTGCGACCCCCCCTCTTGGACGCCCCTATCAAGGCCCTGGACGCTCCCGATGATAATCTGGGCGCCTCCACAAGCAAAAGATAGTGTCGCCGCCTGTTCTCTCGACGCTCTCCCCCCCACACTTCTCGTCGTGAAAACAAAATCGGGCCGAACGAAAGGGGGGGACAGGGAAGGGGGGGGGTACGAAATCTGCTGCATGCAGCTGGTTTCGGCCCCGCCGCCGGGCCCATTGCCCGATACATGGCCGCCTCCGGCGCTGGGAGGCGCCTGGAACATGATCGACCCACGAACCCGGAAAGGAATATAGAAACGTAACGCGTGGCAGCGTTTTCAAAGGCACCTGATTGGGTGACGGGCACATGCAATGCTGAAGGGATCGATCTTGATGTACCCTGCCGAGGGCTGTGCTGTGCTGCACCGTGCTGAATTGCGATGTGCCATGGCGCGGTTGTGCTCTATAGCGTCGTGGATCGAGTCCTCTTTTGCATCCGAGTCCTGACCGAACTGATCTGGATCTTAAGCTCGAGCTGCCTCAGCACAAAGTAGCTGCCCAGAGCTAATTGACAAGGGAACATGCCAGGAGGACGCGCCGCGGAACGTCCCAAGGGACGCGCCAGGCGACGGGACGTGCCACGAAGACGCACCGCGGGACGTGCCGAGGGGACGCGCTACGGAACGTGCCAATGCACGCGCCACGGAACGTGCCAGGGGACGCGCCGCGCGACGTGCCAGGGGGACACGCCACGGGACGCGCCACGGAACGTGCCAGGTTGTAATGCTGAGTGTATCGATCTTGATGTACGAGGGCTGTGCTGTGCTGCGCTGTGCTAAACTGCGATGTGCCATGCCGCGATTGTGCTCTATAGCGTTGTGGATCGAGTCCTCCTTTGCATCCGAGTCCTGACCGAACTGACCTGGATCTTAAGCTCGAGCTGCCTCAGCACATAGTAGCTGCCCCAGAGCTAATTCACAGGAGAACATGCCAGGAGGATGCGCCGCGGAACGTCCCAAGGGACGCGCCAGGCGACGTGCCAGGGGACGTGCCACGGGGACGCACCGCGGGACGTGCCGAGGGGACGCGCTACGGAACGTTAAAATGCGTGGTCCTTGCTCGGGGCAACCATGTTAGACATCCCCCTGGATGGCCTGGACACTTAACATGATGGACCCACGAACCCGGAAAGGGATATAGACATGTGGAGCATGGACACGTTTTCATGATACCCAACTGGGCAACACCTCACGAAACATCCCACGAGACACCTCACGAAACAGCCCACGAGACACCTCACGAAACATTCCACGAGACACCTCACGAAACATTTCACGAGACACCCCGCGAAACATTCCACGAGACACCCCACGAAACATTCCACGACGACAGGACACGAGTGGTCGTGCTGGGGGTGGTCGTCGTGCTGGGGTGGTCGTGCTGGGGGTGGTCGTGCTGGGGGTGGTCGTGCTGGGGGGGGCTGGGGGTGGTCGTGCTGGGGGTCGTGTGGGGTGCGCTGTGCTAGTGGTCGTGCTGGGGTGTGGTCTTGCTGGGGTGGGGTCGTGCTGGGGTGTGATCGTGCTGGGGTGGGGTCGTGCTGGGGTGTGGTCGTGCTGGGGTGTGGTCGTGCTAGGGTGGGGTCGTGCTGGGGTGGGGTCGTGCTGGGGTGTGGTCGTGCTGGGGTGTGGTCGTGCTGGGGTGTGGTCGTGCTGGGGTGGGGTCGTGCTGGGGTGGGGTCGTGCTGGGGTGGGTTCGTGCTGGGGTGGTCCGGCGTGCGGGGTGTGTCGGGCTGGGGTGTGGTCGTGCTGGGGTGTGGTCGTGCTGGGGAGTGGTCGTGCTGGGGTGTGGTCGTGCTGGGGGGTGGTCGTGCTGGGGGGTGGTCGTGCTGGGGGGGTGGTCGTGCTGGGGGGTGGTCGTGCTGGGGCGTGGTCGTGCTGGGGCGTGGTCGTGCTGGGGCGTGGTCGTGCTGGGGCGTGGTCGTGTGTGGTCGTGCTGTGGTGAGGTCGTGCTGGGGTGTGGTCGTGCTGGGGTGTGGTCTTGCTGGGGTAGGGTCGTGCTGGGGTCGGGTCGTGCTGGGGTGTGGTCGTGCTGGGGTATGGTCGTGCTGGGGTGGGGTCGTGCTGGGGTGGGTCGTGCTGGGGTCTGGTCGTGCTGGGGTGTGGTCGTGCTGGGGTATGGTCGTGCTAGGGTGGGGTCGTGCATTTCGCTCGAGACATCCTGCCAAAATTCCAGGAAATCGTACAAAAACAAACGAATTAGTCGAGACATCATCGAAATTCCTTCGCGCGGGGCGCTTTTCCGCGTCGCGGTCGGCTCTGCAAAACAAGCGTTTCGCTCGAGACATCCTCGGCAAACTCTGCGGAGCAAGCGTTTCGCTCGAGACATCCTCAACTCACGAAAAAGTGGCCCGCACCCTGTGATTTATCGATCGGGATTTCAAAAACAAGCGTTTCGCTCGAGACATCCTCAAATTTTAATCCGCCGGCCTCCTTCGACCTCGATATTTATCAGGGAAAAAATCCGCCGGCCTTCTTCAAGTTGGCACCGGGGGACATGTTTACATAGTAAAAGAGAACCCTGGGCCCCCGCCCTTTCCGGGAAAATCAGCTACCTGAGCTGATTCTCGAACCCCCTTTTTGCTATCCCCCCCTTTCGCCCGGCCCGAAAAATAACGGCGTCCATCGGCCTTCGGCCGTTTTCGGCCTCCAGGGGCCCTCGCCAGGCGCCTGGGGCGTTGAGAACGGCCTGGGTAAAAAACAGGCTCCGGGGAAGGGGTCCAGACCTTCGGGCGGAAGGGGGAAGAGGAGGAGGAGGAGGAGGAGGAGGAGGAGGAGGAGGAGGGAGGAGGGGGAGGAGGTTGGGAGGAGGAGGAGGAGGAGGAGGAGGAGGAGAAGGAGGAGGAGGAGGAGGAGAGGAGGAGGAGGGGAGGAGGGGGAGGGAGGAGGAGGAGGAGGAGGAGGAGGAGGAGGAGGAGTGAGGAGGAGGAGGAGGAGGAGGAGGAGGACGAATCGGTGGGAGGGAGGAGGGAGGGGAGGAGGAAGAGGGGGAGGAGGAGGACGAGGAGGAGGAGGAGGAGGAGGAGGAGGAGGAGGAGGAGGGAGGAGGAGGAGGAGTGGGAGGAGGAGGAGGAGGAGGAGGAGGAGGAGGACGAATCGGTGGGAGGGAGGAGGAGGAGGAGGAGGAGTAGGAGGAGGAGGAGGAGGAGGAGGAGGAGAAAGAGGAGGAGGAGGGAGGAAGAGGATGGAGGATGGGGGATGGAAGGAGGAGGAACGAAGGAGGGGAAGGAGGGGGAGCACGAGCCGCCCCGAAGGGTCGACGCTGTGGAAACCTCGCGGCGTCGGAGGTCCGGATCGGCCGCGGGAGGCCGCTCCCCGACCCCGGGGGCCATCCAGAGACGACTCAGGACTCCGCAAAGCTGGCCCCTGCGCACGGAGGGATTCTCTGAAGGGCTTTGGCGACCCCTCCTCCTCGAGCGGACCCCTCGCGAGGAGGGGAGGACAACGCTCCCCAGGTCGCAGGCAAGGTCCAAGATGACCTTGATTCGGGATCCTCGGACTGAGGCGAGTCGAGAGGCGGCTGGCCAAGGCCCACTCCCCGTTTGGGAGGGGTGCGCTGTGGTCTCCTGCCCCTCGCTACCGCTCAGTCTGGCGGGCCGCTGTGCGGCCCCTTTGTTACCGGTTCGGTCAATTGTGACCAAAACATGATCGACCCACGAACCCTGAAAGGAATGTAGAACTGTAACACATGGCAGCGTTTTCAAAGACACCTGATTGGGTGACGGGCAAATGCAATACTGAAGGTATCGATCTTGATGTACCCTGCCGAGGGCTGTGCTGTGCTGCGCCGTGCTGAATTGCGATGTGCCATGGCGCGACTGTGCTCTATAGCCTCGTGGATCGAGTCCTCCTTTGAATCCGAGTCCTGACCGAACTGATCTGGATCTTAAGCTCGAGCTGCCTGAACACATAGTAGCTGCCCCAGAGCTAATGGACAGGGGAACATGCCAGGAGGACGCGCCGCGAAACGTCCCAAGGGATGCGCCAGGCGACGTGCCAGGGGACGTGCCATGGGGTCGCACCGCGGGACGTGCCAAGGGGACGCGCTACGGAACGTGCCAATGGATGTGCCACGGGATGTGCCAGGGGACGCGCGACGCGACGTGCCAGGGGGACTCGCCAAAGGACGCCCCACGGAACGTGCCAAGGAACGTGCCAAGTTGCAATGCTGAGTGCATCGACCTTGATGTACCGTGCCGAAATCAGTGCTGTGCTGCGCCGTGCTGAATTGCGATGTGCCATGGCGCGATTGTGCTCTATAGCCTCGTGGATCGAGTCCTCCTTTGCATCCGAGTCCTGACCGAACTGATCTGGATCTTAAGCTCGAGCTGCCTGAACACATAGTAGCTGCCCCAGAGCTAATGGACAGGGGAACATGCCAGGAGGACGCGACGCAGAACGTCTCAAGGGACGCGCCAAGCGACGTGCCAAGGGACGTGCCATGGGGACGCATCGCGGGACCTGCCAAG